TCCAGAAAACCTGGGGTTGGTGGAGAGTTTACTTGTCCTGGCTTTTTCTTGTGCTATTTTTCATCTCTTTTTTCAGAAAAACCTGTCGAGCAAATTTTCAAACATAATTTTTTTCTTGTGACCATGTGAATGAATGCAGTCTGTATCTGTTTAAATTTGTGAAGTGATACACCTAAAATGATAGACATGATTCACCATCATATAGAATAACATCATATATAATAAACCCATTGAATGTAACTGCACTGTAGACTTGGCTAGGTGGATGTTCACAGCATACTGTGTTTATTCTTTGATTACTAAAACAGTTCTTTGTTTTTTTTCTTTTTCTTTTTCTTTTGTTCTTGTACAATTCAGGTCAGTGCCTCCTAAAGTGAATGATGCAACACCTGAACAAAACTCAAGCCAGCCTAAATCTGCACAAGTTACTCTACAATCAACTTCAACAGTCAATGTTGTGGTTGTAGAAGATGAAACTGCACAGCCAGATCAGATAGAAGACAAAACCACTGCTTCCATTGCTGAGGAATGGGAGCAGCTGGTTGTTGGTGAACTCACTGAGAAATATTCTCCTTCCCATATATCTAAACACAAGTTGGAAGAATCAGTTCTATCACCAATAGACATTAACCGGCAGCTGGATGTCAAAACTTCAAGGATACTAGAGAGGCTAGAGGCACCAAGACAGTTAAAATCTAAGGCAGTCTCTCCCACTATCACAAGCAGCGGCATCCAAAATGCAGGTGTGCCAGTAAAGATGCCTCTGATTCCTTTCCAGTCCAATCAGGCCTCAGACCCGAATTCAACATCAAGCGAACTAATGAAACCCAACTTCCAGAGGCTTAAAAGGAAACACAAATGAAAGTAGGTAACCCTTCATTTGAAAGGACTTATTTTGGCATCAGAGGCCCAGGAGATTTGCTTTACCTTTTACTTTTGCTCGGTTTTAGCATGTCTGATATTCTTGTTCTATAAGCATACTGAATAGATACAGCATACCATGGTAGTAAATAATCAGAACAAAGTAGAGGGAATCACAAAGATAAAAAATATGTGATAGATCTTTTTTTTTTTTTAAATGAAGTAGAGAATTATATTCATGATAAATGTACAAACATTGAAATATTCATTGAATTGACAGTATAGATTTGTCTGGATGTGCATTCCTATAATTGTGATTGTAATTAAA